ACAGCCATGCGTCCACTCCAAACACACACCTCTTGTGCAACCAAGCTTGCCTTGAGCACAGTATTTCACTGCAGAATCTTTCAATTCAAACCGGTGTTGCCACAAGAAATTACACAGTGATGCCCCCACGGATTGCCCGAGCCGGCCACATGCCACCAACAGGGCTACGAACAGAACTCAGCTTGTTAGGACGCCACCACTGTGGATGTATACGACCACAACAAAGTGCCCAAGACATGGTGGGCTGCCGAGAATACACAGCTATGCGTTCACTCCAAACACACAACTGTCTGTTAACCAACACCATCGCCAACCAAGCAGAACCTTGAAACGGTGTGCCTTTCAGTGTGCTGCCAAGTATATAATTTGTGCAATTTGAATTGTAGCTTGCCATTGAATTGACCCGCCAGGAGCACCTCAGCATGACTTGGAAGAGCTGTTCAGCCGCAGCATCTCGATCGTCCAACTCGAAGGCATAGCCCAACAGTGACCAAGGTGAGGACTCACCTAATCCGCGCATTTGGTACAGTAGTTGTCACTCTCAAACCAAACACGATCAAGTGGCGAAACGTCCAACCATTCACCGAGTCGCCATACTATGTATATTACATATATATATATATACATTAATCGTTATATTGTATATATATATATATACGCATGTGTGCGCAGGGGACTTGCAGGTGCCCTTTCGTCGTTCCTCTAAGCCGCCAGCTCCATACCCCATTGGGTCCAACTCGTTCTTTCAGGCTCAAGACCTATCGTAGTTGTACACTGTGCATTACAGTAACACCGGATACTTATACTTATACCTGAGAAGGGAGGGGACATCAATGTGGTTGTGGGGTGAATTCGACAGCGCACCGGAACTGCTGTCAGTCATGGAGAAATAGAAGGCAAAGGGGAAAGTCTCGCATTGAGGGCCGATATGACAGGCTCTTTATACACAAGGTTTCGATCAAGGCACACTAGCGGTTGTAGGATAGAAGTGGAGCCCACGCATTAGGAACAAAAATTGAGTTGAGCAGGACATTTACAGTCGGGGTGAGAAAGGTTGACTTGAGGAGGACATTCACAGGGGGGTGGGGTACCCTTCTTTTTTGGCGCTTTCAAGCTGAAACATGGCAACCCTAAGTAACTGAGGGGGCGCTTGCCTGCTGTGTGTTTCTCTTGTCTTGTAGATGGACTCAAACCCACTACAAATGGCATGTCTCGCATGGCCAGACCACACCGCATGGGCCGCGACAGAGCCAAACAGCCGCTTATAGTGAAGCGTGCTGGATCCGATAGACGCAAGATCCATCTTTTTGAAATCCACTCCAAAAAGCGTGGCAAACCATCACACTCCACTCCATAATTACTAAGCATTCAGGTCCTCTCCATTTCCTGACATCCCACCTCCTAGTTTCCTGATGCCATGTTTGCCTTTAGATCTTCTGGAGCAGTTTGAGAAGCAAAAGAATTAACCAATATGATATTATGTTTCGTTGTTTTTCTTTAATGTTGTAGACTTGCATGGTGAAATGGTTTCTGACAATCTCTGAGTCTCTCTCTATTACTGTGTATAGTCTTACGTGGTACACCGAGACTAGTCTCAAGGTGCTTTGAATAGCTGTGGCATATCCATCCCTCTTGAGTCAAATCTCCTGGATCTGTCTTCCAATACTGTCCAACACCTGCCTTCAGATCTGATGGCTTTCATGAGGAAGGGCACGGCCTGAGAGCTCATCCCCTCTAAAGGCTACAGCAGTCGAAAGTTCCACTCACATTCCGTTCTGGCCTAGTTTGCCTGGTCAGAAGCAGGAGTCATGTCATAATGAGGCATGCAAACTCGCCCCATGCGCCAGACAAAACGTATTTTCATGTCTTTGCGGTTCCTTGCTCGTATTTGAATTACTTATATAACCTTATCGTTTTGCAGAGCGTTGCAGGCTTCGCAGGTGGACATCCAAGGACATAACACATTTCTCAATTGGTGGCCTGTTTTTGCACTCCCGTTTGTTCTTCAAGGAAACCCATCTGACACCGAGACCCAGCCTCGGCATAAGCTGACCGAAGCATCAACAGGCTGCCCAAGCGCTGGTTGGTCTCAGGCTGCTCCTGGTTCATTTCCCAGGACTTCCTCGGCAGAAGACGAGTCCTTCTCAGCTGTTGACTTTGAAACATTTCAACATGAGCTGAAGTGAATGGCACAGCCATGTGGGCGTTTCTTAGATACAGTAGACTGGATGGTGCGTCGGCTGACATGCACAAATGTGTTGCATTGTGTCCATTCCGCCTGAACGCTGTCTCTGCTTCTTCGATTTTGCCGCTGCCCATCAGCAACTCCCCCAAGAAGTTTTGGGTCTGCGAAAGGTGATGGATCGATGTCAAAACAATGCCATTGAGGTGCCATTGAGGCCATCAAGGCCAGTGGGCCTAAAGAAACCATTGACTAACGACATTCTGCCCTTCTGCAATTGGAAGAAGGGCCAGCATGGGCCAGCTACTCAGACTACTCAATTGCGTATGCTGCCAATGCCACTCGAATGCATGTTGCTTGCCAAGAAAGGAATGCCAGAAGCTTCAATGCCATCAACTCCCTGGTGCCTGGACTTGTGGTTTGATTTCTTGTGCCCTTCTGCATGCCACCACTGCCAGGTCGCTTTGGCCCATCTCAGACAGGACAACGGCCAGATTTCCATGCACCTGAGGCAGCCCAGAATGACGAATCAAGCTGACGAGTGGATGGATAGTGCTTCCAACTGGTTATTATATAGTTGTTGTTTATGAAATCAAGGAAGGTCTGAGTCTATGCCACCTTCCCAACGTGCTGTCATGAGGTGTTTTAAACAGCTTTGGAAGGGGGCTCGCCTCTGCATTGGAAGGATCCAAGGCAAGTGATGCGCGAAAGCTGCTTTCTGCCTGGAACTTGGAGGAACACTTGCAAATCTGCGTTTTGGTGATGAAAATAAAGATATAACATGATCAAACGACCTGATCTCAATTCCATCACCACATCCAGACACAAAACAATTGAAACAGTCTTGGAGCTTTGATGTGGCGACCAATGCCAAGCGCTGATGCCTCTCGGTGGCGATTCTGCTGGAACAGGATCTTGCCCAAGATATTCTCCTCGTCAGCCTGGAAGCAGTGACTAAACTTTGCGGCACGTCTAAATTGCAAGCTTCAGTTCTGCGGACTTTTTGCAGCATTGAGGCGTCCCCATCATCTGATGGCTACAGCAGACTCAATAGCTCTTCAAGAGTTTGCTTGCGGCCTGCACAAGGCGCGATTTGCCTCGTCGCAGGAGAGTGGGAAGGCTCTGTGCAGTGAGGTGAAGTTCATCAGACTTATGAAGGTCCTCTGTCTCAGGCGTGATCTGGGACATCTGCAAGCAAATCAAGCAGCTGTATGAACACTCAAACATCAAAAATTCTGTCTGGCAGCCGGATAGCTGAAGTCATCTTTCGTCGCTTCAGTCCAATATCGTCTCGTCCGTCCGCTGGCTGTTGAGTCCAATAGCTGCCGAAACTTTTGCAACCACCCCAACAAACCACGTTCCCATCTTGCAGAAGGGCTGCAAAAGCCGTGCTGCTTGCCTGAATTTGGATAACATCCCTCAGCTTTTCTCGCACACTGCTGTAGTCACCTCCGCATATGGGATTGCCCCAAGCAACCACCGTTCGGTCTTGTCGAAGTGCTGCGAAGGCATGCTGAGTTGCCTGGATCTGTTCCACGCCATGGAGCTCTTCTTGAACCGCGCCACTGTAGCCACCATCTTCTGCCAAGCCCCATGTGACCACTCGACCAGAGCTTAACAACGCTGCAAATGCACCCTCTGACGCTTGGAGAGCAACAACCCCACTTCCAGGCAGGCAAGCCTCATTGCTGTTGCCACCACGTTCAGGGTCCCCCCATGTAACAACACCTCCATCTGAGAGAACAGCAGCGAAGGAGCGTCCAGAAGATTGGAGTTGCTTCACACCTCTCAAGCGGTCGGAAACCGTCGAACTGTCGCCACCCCACCATGGATGACCCCATGTCACGACAGTTTCATCTGCTAGCAGGGCTGCGAAGGCCATGTGAGAAGCTTGAATCTCCTTCACATTCTTCAGCATGTCAGTGACCTTACTGCTGTCCCCTCCTCCATTGGGACGTCCCCAGGTCACCACACAACCATTAGCAAGAATGGCTGCGAAGGCGCAATTAGAAGCTTGGATTTCTTTCACGTCTTCCAACTGACTTTGGACCCTACTGCTGTCTCCTCCAACATAATCGTCACCCCATGACACCACAGTTCCATTTCGCAGCAAAGCCGCAAAAGCCTTCCTGGTACTTTGAAGCTTCTTCACTTTGGTGAGACGGTCCTTGACTCCATAGCTATCTCCGCCACACTTGGATTGACCCCAGGTCAGCACTGTGCCATCTGTTTTGATTGCAGCAAAGGCGCTGGCAGTTGCCTGGATCTCTTCCACCGCCTCGAGTTGCAGGGACCCGCTGTCACCTCCTGCTTCGGGATTCCCAAAAGCCACCACTGTCCCATCGTGTTTCAGGGCAGCAAAGGCCTCGCAAGTTGATTGGACCTCACATGGTCCGGGCGAAGGAAAGAGCAGGATAGAGCAGGATTCGCTATGTGTCCTTATTTTAAAGCCGGAAACAGCTTGTGAACAAAGGAAACATATTTATAACACTTGCAAACCCTGCCTCCTGAACATTTTGGAGCTGCTTGGGTCTCACCCAATCCTTCTTCCCTCCCAAAACCATCACACTGCCATCAGTTTGAATGAGAACAAAAGCAGAATCGCAAGAGGCCACTTTGCTCGATTGCACTACAGCGGTCAAGGAGTCTCCGCACTTCAAGGCTTCTTCTGCGCGTGTCGCAGACTGTAGCAAGTGACCGTTGCTCGTGATGAAGCTGCCAATGCAAACACCCAACTGATGCCCTGCAGTCAGCAGCAAATCGCTGATGCGGGAACTCTCTGAGGCCCAAAGGCATGTGGATCGACCGCTAGGCAAGTGGATATTGATCCACATGAGGAACGTTCACAGTCAACAGCGGACACCTGCCGACCGGTCTGACCGGGTTGGTGGACCAACAAGAGAGTGAGATCGCCTGCGAATACGACATGTGGAAAGCAAAGCAAGAGCTGCTCATGAATTTCCTCAAATTGTTTGAAAGTCGTCCCATCCAAGTATTTGGAATTTGGAGGTATCTGAGTAAAAGTGCAAATTCTGATTTTACGAAGATTGCAAATGGGATGATGCAGGGATGCGATTTTGCTGCTTAGCTGATGCAGCTACACCAAGAGACTTTCTGAAAGCCACATGTAAAGCATGAGCTTGTTTCAGGTCATAGGAATGACTGCCCACCCCGTGACGGTGATTCAACAAATCACTGGCATTTGGCATCTGGGCTTGTCTTGAAACAGGTAGACTGTCCACAAACTACTTCATGAAATGAACATGCAACTAAAGTCATTTGGCTGGTGCTCCGCTCATTTCCATCCAACACCATATCAGTTGTCACTGCAGAACATAGTTTGCATGCACACCGGGAGCACTACGATGGATGCCATTTGAGAAGTATGTCAGTTTTGGGGAGTGCAGTTCTGACCTAGGCCCGGTGCCTGCCCTTGTCACCTTGTAACTTTGTGGAAAGGCATTTGCCTGACACCATCTCTCGAGAAAATACCTCATTGTTTCAAGAGAGGCGCCCCTTGGCTCAAGTCGCGAGGAAGGGGTGACATGCCCCTCGATATGAAACATGAGGCTCGTCGAGAAATTCATGAGATTGTCAAGTGACCCTCCAACGCCTGTTGCCTTCTTTCACCAGGGTATCATCCTTGCCCTCCCAACATTTCGGAGCCATATCAGAATTGCGAGCCAGAATGTATAAGATATAGCCAGCTAATTATATATATATATATATGTATCATTGCTTTCAAGCACTTTGAAAATTCAGTTCACCTTGTGGAATGCTCAGTACCCGCTTAGCACTTCAAGCATAGAAAGCCCGACGCCTTCGGCTCTAGCCGCAAGGCTTGGCGGAAGGCCGCCTCCGCTTCTTCCAGAGCTCCTTGGCGCCTTCGGTCGACCGGGGCGACGATGCGGTCGCGTCACGCCCGTTGCAGTGCCCCTATGCAGCTATGCAGTGAACCCAACAAAATCTGCACCAGACACTTTAGTTTGGGAACCATGACTCGTAAGGTATGTTTGGTTGGAAAACGAACGAAAACATGGTTCTGGGGGTGGGGATCCATGTGGTGATGTGATTGATTGGAGATGATTACCCTTTTGTAACACATAGTTTCTGAGTCGTTCCTGAAACATAGTTACTGCAGTGCTCATATCTTCCGAAAGGGCTTTGGTTAACTTTGGTTCCTGTGCACCTGTAGGCGTGTCCCAAGGAGCTCCAAACGGTGGCATTCTTCTCCTCGGCCTGCTGCAGAACAAAATGTTGTTTGCTGGCTTCACAGTTGTGGAAGGCTCAATTCTACCAGGTTAAAATAGCGGAAACAGTTCAGTTAGCAATAGCATTGCTGTAACATCATCCAAAACTAAACTCTTTTGCTCATCACCTTGTATCCTGGACGGGAGGGTCTTGGCGATCCATTGACAAGGCCTTTGGTATTATTGCTCTTCTCTCAAGTTTTTTTAGCACTTTTCCGAGGAGAGCATTTGCGTAGTCATCGAGGCCTTGAGGGCATCTGGGGTGCCTGGGTAGGTGCCTCTGTGGTTCGTTTCCTCCGGAAGACAAATGAAGACATAGACATTTTACATACTTGTTGAAATAATGAATGTTTAACGTTTGACAACCTTGTGAGCATGGGGGATCATCAACATTTCCTGAGTGAGTGTGCACCCCATAAGACCTGACATGACATGTCCGAAAGAGGAAGTATGATCGTGCAATGGTACCATGATGCACCATGGCTTGCAGGTGAAGGGAAGCCTGGGTGGCACCTGCGTCTGTTTTGTCCAACGTCCTTGACGCTATCTTGTCCATACTGGGTGGGCTAGGCAAATCTACTGTAGCAAGCGTGTCAAGAGTCAAGATTGAAGTGGTTTTCTGTTGTGGCTAGACATTGTGGCAACCGACTTTGAACGTGGCTGGAACCTTTGGGCTACTAGTATATAACAAAGGGCATCGCTACTAGGAGCAAGGACGCTACTAGGGGCGCTCCTGGCCTTACTACTAGTAACAAGAAGCTACTAGGAGCAAGGGTTGTCCTGTGCGAATCAGCTCTTCAGGCTCGGTCTGGCCTCAAATGAGGCTGCTACAGCGAACGCGGCGACCAGGAAGGCTGAAGCCGCTGTCATAAAGAGGTGCTGAAACGCTGGGCACCAGTTCAGCGAATGTTGCTCTTTGGAGTTGCGATTGACGTGCCCCTTTGGGGGACGTAGCACTGTTGCAAGTAGCCCCTTTTGGGGACGTCTAAGACCGAATCATAGAAGAGTTGTTGTACCAAATGTGTCTTCCAGTTTACTCCATACGGTAAGGAAGATTAAGCGACTGAGCTCGAGATCCTGCTTGCCTGCTGACTCAACCAAGACCTTGCCCAAAGCAACATCTTTGAACGCATGATGTGCTTTCATGTGCTCTTGCATCAATCAATGAAAGCCGCCATGTTGATGCGTCTCTTAGCTGAGCTGATAGACAAGGAGTAGTGGCAAGTGGAATAGGCAAGAGAGTACACACACACACATTCGTTTCATCACAGAGTTCAGCCTACAACACTGAAATGAATGGAAGCAGCCGTAACTTTTCATGTAGCGCCACATGTCAGGAAGCGGATTGGTGCCTTTTCCCACAAGTATTTGTCGAGGTGTTCTCCTTTGTTTTTCGTGTCATTCTGGGGTCAGCAAAGCTGCAACTATGACGTGGCCCTGCCAAAAGAACCTTAAGGAACCTTCTATATGAGATACCCTCTCAAGCGAATGATTAATGTCTGCTGTTGTGAAGGTCAGCGGTCGGTGGCCAATTTCACTTCAGCAGCTCTTCACCTGTAACACAGAACCGCAAAGGAAGTGGACCCTGAAGTCTTGCTCTCGGAGAGGTCTGCAGCAAACGTTTCTGTAGTTCCCTGATTTGAACTGTGAAGAAGGTGGTTATTAGGGTGCACCAGTTGTGTGGAAAATTGACATCCTCGATGCTTTCACCAAGAGGCCAACTTCACACCCTATACAGTATATATCATACATCCCTAAGCTACGATCAAGTCACTCCTCAACAGTTAGCTCAACATCCGCTCTGAGGCAGGAAACACTTGTGCGCCGCAACAGCCTGGTTCAGCCGTGAGTTGGAGATGTTGCATTCGGCGCATATTTCTCCTGCACATCAGGCTCTGTTGTGCTGATTTGGGTATGTGTGTGTGTGAAACCCTTGGAGTTACAGGGCGTCCGTTGATTTGCTACCTTTGCTCTTTGACTTCTAGTTTAGCAGGGCGGCAAGGCCTCCAGCGATGAAACTTGTCCAACGAAGCTACATCACTGGACGGGAAGCGGATGGAGACGTCAGTTCGTGCACCTGCTGTTTTACCTGAGACATCGTGGTCCCTGCTTTTAACTAGAACAAGACTTCCGGCCATCGCATCCGTTTGCATCGGCAGTCACGTGCTTGACTTTGGAGCTTTGCAACTTGGAGGGCTTTGGAGGCCTCATGGAGGGTATTCTTCGTACCTTTACTCTTAGGCATATGGTTACTTAAGTTGCCGTGCGGCGAGCGGCATTCGGTTCAGTACGCAATATCTTGAGTGTGGGCGTGTGAGAAGTCCGACAGCAAAGCGAAACGCAAATCAGAAAGCTGGCATGCGTATCAAGAAGAGTTGCTAATGTAATTTGAGCCTCTGAGCTCGGCAACAAATACACCAACAAACAAATACGCTTGGTGACTCGGCACGGCCGCCGCCGCCGCCGCCACAACATTGCGAATGGACTGGTTGAAGACACTTGCTTGCCATATTTGGTTGTCTCCTTCGAACCTCCCTTCAACCTTGCTACATCAGGTACCCTCCGATGCTCCAAATACAAAGCGTATTAAGGCACAGAAAAAAACAGTGTCTCATCTTGGACCCCTATTAGGCTCAGGAGACAATTACAGTACATACCTGCAAGAGTCCTGGTTTGCAGCACGCAGCCAGCACCGCTCCTGGTGTTAGAAAATGATTGCTCATATCGTTACGAGCCGAATAAGAATTCGACCTAGGCTAATTCATGGAAACCCATAATAGTGAAAACATGTTCTCCTACTCACCGCTTTAAAATCCAAACTCTGACTGGTTGGATAGGGTCAGAAAGATCAGCAAAACGGACAAATGATCAAAAGAATTAGAAACATGCAGATGGCGGTGACAAATTACTGGTCCGTTATCCCGGGCAGTGAGATAAGCCTTTGAAGGTATACAACGGTCTTTGACACTCCTCATAGCACAGCCCGCCATAGGACTCGAGAAGCTCAATCATGGTTTGGTAGGACCTGGCCAACTTGTGACAGGGTACGCCTTCTGCGTTCCTCGTTTTTTTGATCAAATGGAAAAGCCCTGCATGGCTTCTTGGTCGTTACTGGACAAGATGCATCGGAGGGTTCTGAAGCTTCCGCAGAGAAGCTTCCGACACCAATTCTCAGGCTAGCCTGTTGACCTTGATCTGAAGACCTCAGCCAAATGATGAGCTGCGAAGCCAGGCAAACAGTAAAGGACTTTGTGGGCAGGAATGTGTGTGTGCACGTCAAAACCTGTTCCTAACTGGAAACAATCTTCTTCCTGTGCTTATTTTACTTGTACAGTCACAGCAGGGGGGCAACGGCCAATCTTCCAACGTTGCCCAAAGAAGCTACGGAAGATTGGTGGAAGCATTCGGGAACGCCTGAATGTCTACCGTCACCAATTTCAGTTTCACTTTTGAGCTGATGGTTTAAACAATATTGTTGCGGACTTTTGCACCTTGCTGTTTGCACAGGGCCACTTTGAAGGTATCAGGTTCTCTGCGCTCTAATATGGTAACGCAGTAACTAAATTGGGAAGTCGTCAACTGACACTTGCTCTTGCGAGCCTTCTATCTAAGTGTGACCTGCAGCGTCGTCCCACCACAGTGCACTGTGTCAACCCATTTTTTCGGCAGCTGTTCTCACAGACCCTCAAGGGTGACAAATTCTAGTCTATTCGTTCTGCGCGACTAACACTGACCATTCATGTTTCCTTGAGATTTCTGACCAAATGCTGCAGGGCCTCCTGAATTAATCAAAGAATGACATGACATGTCCACATGGTTCCCAATTTTTAAGCCGCAGTTGCTACTTTTCCTCCTTCGGTTTCTCTTCTCTTTCTAGGTCTTTTGCTCGTTGCAAACAGTTTGTTATGCGTAATGCAGGTTTTGTGCGAGTCAAGGGAGCGCAGATACGGCTATTTGGGTTTGCGTTCTGGCAAATGTGCCCTGACTTGTGGCAAGAAACGCCCCTTTTTTCCCCGCCACCCCCCACCATTCTCTCCTTTCTTGGCTCTTCGCTTGTTAGGCCTGCTTCTCGAGGCTTTGTTAGGTGGCCCGTCAGGCTCGTTTAGTCGATTTCCCTTCTTTCCCGCCCCCCGCCAACCACTCCTTTCTCTCTTGGTTTTCTCTTCGCTTGTTAGGTCTGCCTCTCCGGGTTTTTGAATGCATTTTCAAGTGCTTTAGTCAAGGGAGCGCCGTTACGGCTTCATGTGTGTGTGTGTCTCCGCCGCACTCCGTGTCCAGGAGTTTAGCTTTGTAATTTAATTTACACTATACGCAGCGGACCATCCCTTTCACCAGTGGTGGATGGCCACCGAAGAGGCCACTGGTGAGGGCTGTAAACGCACCACTTCTAATCCATCCAGGTGACAGAAGGAAATTTTAATCGACACACTTGTGTGCCGGTACCATTCCTTCTGTTGCCCCTTCTCTAGTCTACTCTAGCCAGGCGGTCTAAGACTAAAGTCCCGCTCCCTAACTATTGCACATAATTAAGGACCGCTCAGTATTCAGTAACTAGTTCTAATCAGGGTAACAGAAGGAAATGGTATTCGACGCTCTCGCCGTCGGTACCTTTCCTTCCGTTGTCCCTTCTCTAGTCTACTCTACCCGGGCGGTCTCAGACCAAAGTCCCGCTCCCTCACCATTGCACATAATTGAGGACCGCTAAGTATTCTATCTAGCTCTAATCATGGTAACAGAAGGAAAAGGTACTCGACACACTTGTGCGTCGGTACCTTTCTGTCTGTTGTCCCTTCCCTAGTCTACTCTGCCCCGGGCGGTCTAAGACTAAAGGCCCGCTCCCTAACTATTGCACATAATTGAGGACCGCTAAGTATTCAATAACTAGTTCTAATCAGGGTAACAGAAGGAAATGGTACTCGACACACTTGTGTGTCGGTACCTTTCCTTCTGTTGTCCCTTCTCTAGTCTACTCTACCCAGGCGGTCTAAGACTAAAGTCCCGCTCCCTAACTATTCCACATAATTAAGGACCGCTAAGTGTTCAGTAACTAGAAAGATTTTCAACAGTTGTGCAAACACTTCAAGTACTGCTGCCGACTCAGCCGCCGTGAGTTTCCCTCGTTCCTTTCCTTGTGGATTCTGATACTGGATGAACCATTGTCTAAGCGTGAATCGCTGCGCTGTCCTCCTCTCGCAAGAGAGGCGCTGAGACCGCCGTGTATCACATATCGAAGCAACGTCCTGCATTCTTGGATTATGGTTGGATTGATTTCCGAGCTTACGGGGAATAGACCCCCCTTCCCTCCCCCCTCTTTCTTTCTTGCGGTTTCTTCGTTTGTTAGGTGTTTCTTCAGGCTTGTTAGGTTGTTCTTGAGGCTCGTTTCCCTGCCCCTCCGCTCCTTAACTTTTGCACATAATTAAGGACCGCTAAGTATTCAGTAACTCGAGAGATTTTCAACAGCTTTGCAAAACACTTCAAGTACTGTTGCCGACTCAGCCGGCGTGCGCTTCCCTCATTCCTTTCCTTGTGGATTCTGACACTGGATGAACCATTGTCTAAGTGTGTCAAACCCTGTTCCTAAGGGATCCACACTGTAAACAACTTTCTTCCTTTGTTTAAGTCCATTTTAATTGTACAGTCACAGCAGGGGGGCAACGGCCAATCTTCCAACGTTGCCCAACGAAGCTACGGAAGATTGGTGGAAGCATTCGGGGACGCCTGAACGTGTACCTGCACCAAATTCAATTTCACTCTTGAGCTGATGGTTTTAACAATATTGTTGCGGACTTTTGCACCTTGCTGTTTGCACAGGGCCACTTTGAAGGTATCAGGTTCTCTGCGCCCTAATCTGGTAACGCAGTAACTAAAATGGGAAATCAACAACTGACACTTGCTCTTGCGAGCCTTCTGTCTAAGTGTGTCATACCAAAAATGTCCCCAGGCAGCAGCCCTCTTCGCTTTTCTTGGGAAGCAGCTGTGCAACCGCTTCATAGAACTTCGTGTGCCTAAGACAATCACGATGAAAATGTGGGTAGGTCATTCCTTCCCATTCGCACAAGTTTCCTGGGGCTTCTCGAGCAGACGTCTAACGGTTCCAAGGTGTCATGCTTTAGACGTTGCAGCTCGAGCAAGCTTCAAGAAACACGATTCGACGATCTGTTGCCGATGAAGGCAAAGGTTTCCCATCTCACTAAATTTGGTGCCTGTCCTCCGATCACCATGAAGCAAACTCAAAGGTGGGAGCTTCATAATCACCATGAGATTGCATTGCAGGACTCATTTCCAATATTCAGAAAACCTTTGGCAAAATCTCCACTTTGGGATCATCTCCACTTTTGGAGTTTTGCTCTGCTCGGGCCAAATCGCCTCGAGCAATAGGCTTAGTCAGACATGCTGTGCACAATCTGTGCAACATGTCTCAGTCGTAGGCCTTGGTGCCGGAAAATGCGGTCGCTTGAAGTTAGGTCTGGGTCCTCTGGGTCCTCTGGGTCTTCGTGGCACTGATTGAACCCGTCTACGAAGCGGATCCAGCTGCGTGCGCAAACATGAACAAAACTGTACGGCATCAATGAGAGGTGTGAAGCCTCACGTTCTTGCAATAACAAAATTGAAGGTAAGCCTTGTACTTTTCACCGTCCTCATCCAAACAGCAGCCTGCAAATCACAGACCTATTCTATGTTGTTCAGTCAAAGAGCTTGTGGATAATACATCTCCACACTTCAACACGACGAGAATCGCCCAACACAGATTGTACAGCCAGATTTACGCCTATTCCAACGAAAGGAACAGGGACCGAAGACCGTCGGAGACCTGTCATGACCTCTCCGCTGTTTGCATCTATGCGGCAGAAGCCCACAATCTCGGACTTTGCCACAGGGCCACGGAGCCTCATCAGACCGTTGTAGATCTCATCCATGGTAAGCCACCCACTCCTGAAGTAGAGAGACGCTCGCAGACCAAACGGGGCGACTCTCTAAAGTGTGGAAAACTGAAATAGGGCAACTCTCTCATACAAGCGTCATGTCGGCATCCAAGCATTCGAAAATGCCAGCCTGAGAGCACTACGTTACAAATGTAGAGACTTTGACGAAACAAAGAAAAAACTGTATGGACGAAGTTCCAAATGGATGGTGAATGATGGGTCGATCAATGCATGTAAATTCCAAATGCCAGAATCTAACATGAACCTCATTGCCGCTGGGTCACTTGATTGGCTGTCTCGATGTCTGCCTCTTTGAGGACGGAGATAAACTCTTTGTCTTGAAGCCATGAAAGGAAGGCTGGCTTGGTGATGACCACCTGCCAGAGTCCGAGAGTTGCTCAATCACCAGTGATCAGCAAGTTGTGAGCTTGTGTAACAAAGGCCTGCGAGCTGGAGAGGGTCTCGAACATGGCGCGCACCCGCGCATCCCAACGATGGAACGTCTGGCTGATGGCCCTCAAGTCCTCCTCCACTTCCTGCTGGTCTCCGAGCTGGCCAGGTTTCTCTTACAACCCAATAGCGGCCTCCAACCTACCAGCGATGGCCTCCAATCTACACTAGCGATGGCCTCCAACCTACGTACAAGCGATGGCCTCCAATCTACACCGGCGACGGCCTCCAACTCCAACGCCTCCAACCTACTAGCGATGGCCTCCAACCTACCAGCCATGGCCTCCAACCTAGCGACGGCCTCCAACCTACAAGCGATGGCCTCCAACCTACTAGCGATGGCCTCCAACCACTAGCGACGGCCTACTAGCAATGGCCTGCCCCCCTAATAGCGATGGCCTGACCCCCAATAACCTGCCCCCCTAATAGCGATGGCCTCCAACCTACTAACGATGGCCTCCAACCCAATAGCGATGGCCTCCAACTTACTAGCGATGGCCTCCCCCCAATAATAGCAATGGCCTCCCGCACGGGGCCCCGAGCTTGGGATCGAGCTTTGGCGGGTTACAGTGGCAACTTTCAATCTCCAGGTCCGGGTTTCTGATTTGGGCGTTAGCCTCCAACCTACTAGCGATGGTCTCCAACCTACTAGCGCGATGGCCTCGATGGCCTCCAACGTACTAGCGATAGCGATGGAATCTAATCTATTAGCGATGGCCGGTGCCTCCAACCTGCTAGCGATGGCATCCAATGCCAACCCAATAGCGATGGCCTCCAACCCTAATAGCGATGGCCTCCAA